AATACGCATGCTCATGTCCTACAAGGTCCCATAAATTAATGACACGAATGTAATTTTTGGTGGGAACTTAACAACAACTACATTACAGTTTATTTGGTGTTCTTTTATCTCTTCTACCGAAACAATGTAATGTTAGTCGATTGGTTTGAGACACCCGATTGTTTATCGTTTGTTGCGTTTCTCGATTATATATATATATTTTTTTCTTTTTTAGTGTTATGGTTCAGGAATTGCACTGAGATTTATTTGGATCGAGTCTTTCCCCAGCACTCAAATTATGAGTCTTGAACCCCAAATTGGTATAGGGGTCATTCTATTATACTGGGGCACAGGCTTTAGAACGTCATATGCTATAAAATCCTAAATTTTTACACCTGTTCCAAAGGCATGTTTGCATACATTTTTGTATCATTTGAAACATCTTACTTGAATCTATTATACTGTGTATGATGATGGTGATCAGGCATACAGATTTCAAGAAAAATACAGAAACAGCGTGATGTCCCTGTGCATTTTTGCATATATATTTGTGACATAGTTTTATGTACTTACCAAAGTTGTCAGTTATTTCATTTGAAACCAGTGTCAGTATAATCTTAGGTAAGCATGTGGTTAACATAAGTAAGAAATTAGTCCAATGAAAGTGTTTATCATCTTGATACCTTCCGACGAAAATTGACCCTACCGGCGCCACCACGGCGTCCCCACCGATCGACTTAACGTGACGTTGTTATGTGGGTGTTTTATAGATTATTGAGAATAGTAATATCAACAAAAAATAGATAAAATGACAGTTGAAAGACCAACAAAGACAACTGAAGACAGCTTGTCCTTAGAAGTTATTTAGTATAACTTTATTCGGAAAATTAATCTCAAAATCGCCGTCCCCGGCGTTGTCAGTGACGTCGAATGAGATGTGTGCGATTTTTACCAATTAACCCCTAAGTAAAAAGTAGTTGAGCCATGTAGTACCTTGCAAATCAACCCAGAGACCCGGTATTTGTTGATTGCTTATTGGTAGCGTCCCTTTGCTGCCGAAATAGTTTTTATGGCAGTTGCTTCCCCGGTGAAATCGTGAGGGCATGGTGAATGCTGGTTACGATTTGGTGGCACATGAATTGAGTATTTTCATTCATAACTTATAATGATATAAATATAATAATTAAACAAAGACCCTGCAAGTCTACTCATACACGCGGGTGGATATCTGAATCATATTAAATAGCGCCGTATTCGGACCTCCATAGATTAGAACTTTTTACCAAAGAGTATAAAACTGCAAGAGGTCCGACTTCCCTGATTTTGTATCTTGAGTGAATTTCCAGCACGATTAAAAATCGTAACGGTACTGGGTATGGTCTACAGGAGTTCGTGTTTCGAACAGGTCATTCAATTCATAGAAAAACCCTTTTGGTGGAGAAAATGTACCTTTTTAACAAGGTTTGCCTAGGTCGAAACTAACTCCGGCTATATAAAGTTGATTAGAAGATTGAAAATGTTATTCTTCGTAAATTTACTTCCAGAGTTTATATTTAATTAATTAAACTTGTTTAGATATTTAATTGAAAAATATATTATATGAAATAATGTAGGTCTAATCGTTACAGTTTATATAATATTTGGTAATATTTAAATAAAGCAAAAAGATTGAAATATGTTAAATATACACATGCCTAGTTCTAGAGTACAGTTAAAATATGTAACTATGTATTGATGTAATGATATATATACATACACACATATTACCTATATATAGTAATAAAACGCATAAAGCAAAAGTGTAGAGTAGCCGTAACTTTTAATGGTAAAAAACACAAACGTTTTCGGGCATCGCCCTTCATCAGGTGATCATCACCACCTGATGAAGGGTGATGCCCGAAAACGTTTGTGTTTTTTACCATTAAAAGTTACGGCTACTCTACACTATACATATACATATATATACATATACATATATATACATATACATATATATACATATACATATATATACATATACATATATATACATATACATATATATACATATACATATATATACATATACATATATATACATATACATATATATATACATATACATATATATATACATATATACACATATATACAAATATATATATATATGATATCACACATATATACGCACATACATACACATATATACATATTATGCGTAGATATGTATTTAACAAAATAAATTAAATTTGTTGTAAATGTGGAAGAAGCATAGGAAGAAGAAGAATAGGAATGAAATTTGGAGCGGCTGAAATATTTACCGGTACCGAAAATAAACAATAATAATCATTTTGTCATTATTGCATCATGTTTTCATGAAAATATTATTATTATAAAATTTAACGATTAGACCACATTATTTCATATAATATATTTTTCAAGTAAATATCCAAACAATTTTAATTAAATATAAACTCTGGAAGTAAATTTACGTAGATTAGATCAATAAAAATCGACAAAGTACAATTACTTAGTCATCCTTATCTTTCTCCACCAAAAGTCTTTTTTCTATGAATGGACTGACCTGTTCGAAGCACGAACTCTTGTAGACCAAACCCAGTACCATTACGATTTTTAATCAAATCAAACACACCTAAAGTCACTGTTAATGCAAATTGTCAGTCAGCAATGAACAATTACTAGTAACTAGGCAGCTATGTACACAAACCTATGGTAAAAATCATGCCTGGTCCTCATCATCTTATATATAAAGACTATTCAGAACCACTAAAACAACCTCGCAACTATTAAGTATGATGGTTTATTTTCAGAGAGCAAAAAATAAATGGCGTCCCTTGTTACATCAGTGCCTATTGTGTGTTTCAACACTTGCAGCTTTTTGTAGTCAAGGGATATGTCATTTTCCCCCTTAAATTATAATATTTTTACTTTCTGAAAATACTATCATTTGTATTTATAATGCTACTTTAAATTTTAAGGCCAATGTCACACTTTGTGCCCAACTTGATAAATAACCCATATTGTTGATATTTTGTAAACCTAAATGTGTGGTAAGTTCCATTTATTAAGCCTACGTGCATAAGCCAAAACCTAAAAAAAAATAGTAAACTGATTTAATCACATGCTCTCTTCCTAGACATTGATCAACTAAGTGCCAATTAAAAGTTATTGTGATCTTTCTATTTTAAAATTACTGCGGTATCATCTTTTAATGCTTAAAGCTTACCATCATGCTTACAATTATTAAGCCTATACCAGTTTGTATTCCTCGAAATGACGGTATGCATAATTAATTTGTTTGTTGAAAAGTGACTTCTCGGATGTTAGATTATTACTTTAGCATTGAAGGATTAATTGCGTGTTTAACTTATTTTAATAACGATATTTTGAAAATGGTTGATTCAATAATGAAAAAGCAAGCACTCATTTTATCTTTTAGTGTGTTAAATATCTTAACTTATTTTATTCTTTATCGAATTAGGCCCACAAGAGGTTATAAATGAAAATTGGAAAACACAACCGATATTTACAGTTTGTCAACAACATAAAAAATATTACATTTATCCATTCCTATGGCTCATTTAGCAGCAACTTTGACCAAAATGACCACCTTGTAAAACCTGTATTAATGTTTTTAAAATCTTATGTTTATTCGTTTACTGTACATAGTCAAATTACCTCTGTACCATTTGTGACATGGTCAAGTGATTATTGTCCATTAAGAGGTCATAAAATAATATGTTTTAACTTTTGTTTTGTATCTTTTTTCTTCTTTTGACTTTTTAGGCTGCTGCAATATAGAGGCCACCATGGACTCACCATAGATAGAAAAAAATATATATAGCTGAAAAGGCAACTGACAGCTCATCATCAGTATATAATATATAATATATATATATATATATAGGGCATATATATATATGTATATTTATGTATATATATGTATATAT